GGTACTGGACCCCATCCCAGTACAGGACATCCCAACCCAGTGTGATCGCTGGGATGTGACCCCACACCCCAGTCTGGGTGCTGGGACAGGTCCCTCATGCCAGCACCGGGTCACATTCCATGACAGACACCGATCTGGGTCCCGCATTCCGAACGGGACACCCATCCCCGTACCGGGTTCCCATCCCGGTACAGATCCTCCTATCCCGGTACAGGCACCGTTACAACATCTCCACCCTGGCACCAGCCCCCCATCCCGGTACAGGGCATCCCATCCCGGTACCGGTATCTCCATCCCGGTATGTGTTCCCATCTCGGTACCGTGCACCCGATCCCGATATGGGATCCCCCTCCCAGTACGGGATCCCAATCCCGGTACAGATACCGTTATGGCATCTCCATCCCGGCAGCGGCCTCCGGTCGGGAGACAGCGGTCAGTACGCGTCCCCATCCCGTCTCCGGTCCCCCCACCCGATCCCGCCCTCATCCCGGTCCAGGACCCCCGCCCCCCTCCCGTTCCGTCCCCCCGCGGCGCGGCCCCGCCGTCTCACCCGGGCCGGCCAGTGCGGGTAGCCCTTCATCTTGGCGAAGACGAGGTCCCCGGGTTTGAAGCTGTGTGGCATGGCGGCACCGGGGGGCGCGGCGGGCGCGGGGGGCACCGGGCGCGGGCAGGCCCAGCCCAGGCCGCGGCAGCACCGGGCAGGCGGCGGGGGCGGCCCGCACCGCACGGCACGCAGGATGTCCCGCCCCCGGCCGCGACAGAGCTTTCCATTGGCTCTGCCGCACGTCGATCAGAGATCCTGGCCAATAGGAGCGAGGCTGTGGAGCGGCGGGATAACGGGATTGGGCCGCGCCGCCGGAGGCGCCGAAGCGGGGGGCGCTGGGGGGCGGGGCCTGAGGGGCGGGGATGGGGCTCAGCCCGGGGTGGAGGGGGATTGTCCCGGGGTGGCGGGGATTGTCCCGGGGTGGCGGGGATTGTCCCGGGACACGGGGCTGGAGTGTCCCCAGGGCCGGGAATGGGTGCGGGCTGTACCTGTCCCTGCCTTGCGCGCACCCTGCTCGGCGGGGAGCGCGGTTCCTGTGCCGTGCCTTTCATCCCGGTAATACCCTCTTCATCCGGAAAGGGGTTTTAAGAGTCGTGTGGGAAGTGACTTTAAAATATGCTGAAATACAGCGACAATTTAAGAACCAAAAAATCCCCCAAAGAAAGAAATTGATTGAGAAATAAACTGCAACTGCTTTCAAACAAAGCGTTTCCCAGTTTTTGTCAGAAGCTGGACACTTTTTTTGGTATATGGGACCAAACTTCCCCGTGGTCGACTCTGAACAAAACCACAGCCAGCAAAGGAAAACTCTTCTCAGAGCAAGAGCAGTGAGTAGAGCAGTGGATAACCAACCTCTCACCGGGGTTTAAAGTGSCAGGCTGTCTGATAACACCCCTCTCTGGCAGGACCTTGCCCCGGTGCCTATCCTGTCTGACTCAAACTCTTTTCGACCATTTCCATGGGCTTCTCACCAAGTCTAGGGTTTGTAGTGCTGTGGTAAGATACACAGCAGAGAGACAAAGCAGGGCCCTGCGATTCCATAGCATGGTGCCTTCGGGAATAACAGAATCGAGCAGGAATGGCCCCGTCCATTTTTTTGCCGCTGATTCAGTGCTGCACACATGGCAGTGGTGATGGCACACAGTGCTGGCTGACACTGCCGTGAGTTTTGGCAGCCGCAGAGAGTTCAGGACAGGCTGAAGTGGGTCATACCCAGCTCCACCAGCACCGTGCCATCTGACCCACCTGGTGCTGGCTTGTGCCCATCATGCAATAAAAGTCACGGCATGGAAATGTCCGAGGTAGGTTGTGAAAACACAGAAGTAAAGGCGGTGATAAAGATGCCATCAGCAAGTGAAGAGCACCCAACAGAGAACATCTGGCTTCTCCAAGTGTCCTGAATGCCTCAGCCCTGAAGAACTGGCTTCCAAAGGAATGAATGAAAACAAATTAAAACCACGTCATGAGTACGACGCGAGAAAAGCGAGAGTGTGGTCAAAATGTACTATAYTGCCTGTACTTGCAAATGGCCAGGGCGAGAGCCCCGCTTTGGGTGTCGGCCGTTCCCTGAGCCCTGCTGCCCARTCTCCAAGCAGGTCCCGCCGAGGTCTGGTCCAAGGCCAGACAATCCCACACAGCCTGTGGGTTTGGGGACCGCATCTAGCAAGGCTGCTGCGTGTGGAAGCCTGAGGCTGCTTAGCAAGGCGCGTGTGCCCGGGTGTCCCCGGCGCCAGGAGATTGTCACCTTGTCACCTTTCCGTCGCTCCCGAGCAGGGTGCGGCCAAAACACAGTGAAACGCTGGGGCGGCGGCGCTGCCTTCGCCAAGCCGGTACCTGCAGCCCCGAGACGGGGACAGGGGCCGCTGGCAGCCCCTAAGACACCTCGGGCCAGCCGGCATCCACAGAGCCCCGTATCCCGAGCCGGGAGCTGGGCTGGGCGGGGGCGGCACGGCCGGGCTGCCCGCATCCCCCCGGGAGAGGGCAGCAGCACTCCCGCRCATCGCCCCACCGAGGGGGCTGCCAAGGGACCTCGGCCTGTCCCACACCGCCCCGACAGCAGCGGCATCCCGGGAGAACCATGGAAACACGCCCCAGGCCAGGCGCTCGGCATCCTCGCTGGGGTTGTCCTTCCCAAGGGTCTGCGGGCACCGGGAGGGACCGGCTGTGGGGACAGAGCTGCGCCTTCATCTCGCGGGTCAAGGCGGATGCGCTTTCCCACGTCTTGAGAGACTTTAATATTCTCCTGCAAGAGAATATATTCTTCCTGTGTGTGGAAACGGGCTTTCGGGGSTCTGGAAAACGAAAAATAAAGGGAAAAGGGAGAAAGAAAAAAAATTAAAAAGAAGAAGAGGAGGGGGAGAATAAAGAACAAAAAAAAAGCTCAAGAGTTTCAGATTAAATCTCTGCGGTGTAACTGGCTGCTGCAGACCTATAAGGAAGATGTCGGGTCACCAAGTGCTTCTTCTTATCAGTAATAAACATTACACTACAAGGCAAAAGATAGGAAGTCACTTTTTCAGCCGTGTTTCAGAACCAGGGCTTGAAGAAGGCGTGATCCCCTTCTCTGATAATAGATAAATCTGGTTACCAAGAAGTTGCCGGCATTTACACTGGGAACCCAGCTGTCATTCAGTTAATTTTGTTCTAGACATGGTGCCATTACCTTTATGCTCACCCCCATCAAAGGGATTGTACTCACAAGCAGGATTTGGTCTTGGCCAGCAAATCTCAGAAATATTCAAGAATATCAGAAATCTTGTGTGAATATATCCAATTTTCTTGAAAACACATCCGAGTGTTTCAATATGTGCCCTGACTACAGGAAGTGCATTATTCAGCAGAAGGAAGAATCTTACCTTAAATGTGCAGAAATAGAACACAGCAAATGAGTATTGATTCCCTATGCCATCTTGCCGGATCTGAGGGGATGGCAGTGCAAACAAGGGAAAATGAACAGTTTGAAGCTGTGAACCTGTTCGTCCTCTCTAATTGTCTGTCTCCCTGATTCCTTCAGTGCTCTTTCTCCTGATTTGTGCCACAGTGAGCTGAGAAACAAATTCCTTTTTTCAACTCTCTTCTTGTTATCTCCAAAGGATGATGGCTTGGATAAAATCTTTACACCAGAGGGCTGAAAAAAGAGGAACAGGTTATCCACGTCGAGTCACTGCCAGAAAATTAATTGATGAGTAAGAGTGAAAGGGGTGACTGACAGACTGGGTGCTTGGGGAGTGCCTCTGGAAGGGAGACTGGGGCAGGCAACAGATCAGAGGGCAGGAGGAAACAGGAAAAAAGGGCTCTGCCTCCTAAGCCAAAAGTGCTGCACAGAAGATACACTATTTATCATCTGAAACAGGGGCTGGCAAAAGCAGGGAGGTGTGAGAGTTGTCCACAGAGAGGTGTTTCTGGCATTGTGGAAATGGAAATATTTTTTAATCTTGACCAATTTCATTGCAAAGATGACAGAGCTCAACATGAATATAGGATTACTATATTGTATCTCTTTAGCACAAATATTCCCTGCCTGCGGAAAGCTTTTCTTCCTCCATCACAGTCCTGCATGTCCCTTTTAATTCACAGGGCCACTGTTGGCTCCTTCGTGTGTTGATTGTGGCTGGTCAAACCCTAACTGGGAGTCGCCCAATTCAGTGACTTTTCCAGAATCCACAGAGCATCAGGAAGTGGTCCAGAAAACAGTAGCACATATGTGATTAATAAAGGGCACACACACATCTTCATCACAMCCATGACAATGAACTTGTGAAGAAACAAGTGTTAAATAAAGTGTCAGTGTGCTGAGGCATTTTTTGGTTAGCTGCGAGTCAAAATCACCCTGGCAATACCATGGAGTTGTCTGAGCCAATTCTTATTTTYAAAAGATTATGTGAGCTTTGTTTAAAAGTGATTGACAAATACCTGTCTAGCTGCACTATTTCTGACCAGCCTGAGTTACTGTGCCTGCTAGCACTGTTCATCCAGAGCATTACTTTTCTATGTGATAGCAAAGAATATAACAAATAGCAAATCTTCTCAGGGCAAGAAGATAGAGTCACACCTGCACTAAACCATGAAGAATGAGCAAAAAGGACTCACGGGTCAGGAAAACAAAAAGCAGTTGATTCATAATCATTTCAGTGCTTAATTCATAACGCCCCAAAATTTATCATCGCCTTTGCAAATGAGATGKCAAATCCTGCCTGGACCTTTCAGGAATGATAATGTTGCATCTGCTCCTGGGAGATCAGGGAAAATCAGACGCTTGAGAAGTGAAGACACACTCAGGAACATCATTCTCTGGATAAGCACAAGAAACTGCTATCAGCAACTATAACTTCATTGATGTTGGGCTTACAGAGAATGTGTACCAGTGCCTCATACAGAACGCTCTTTTTAGGAATGTTCTGCAAATTGGTTTATTCCCTGAATTGCCAAATGAAATAAAGAAACACTAATATCATCACAGTTTTCCGAAGAGCTGTGACTGGGTCTGCTGTGACAGGCTGTCTAACTTGACTGCAATGTGTTTGTCTTGGGCAACTGTATGGCAAATTGTGAAACAGACTCTTTGCTCACCTAAACCAAATGACCATATCCCATTCTGGAGAAACACAAACCCCCTCCATGTCAGAGTAAGGTTTAGGGTTAGATGCCACCTAGTACATCCCACTCCTTTTTGCTAGCTCTTCACTTGGAGAGAGGCTGGGCATGCAGTTGACATTCTCGAAGGATCAGTGGTTATTTTTCTGACCATCGTTGTCCATGAAGACCTGCCCAGGACCCATTTTCCATATCCACCTGCTCCTGAAGCTTGTTGTTGTAGCCTCTGGTGCATGCTTAAGCCACCTTCAGCTGGAACAAATTGGATGGAGGARCCCTGGACATTTTCCTGTCCCCAGGGCTGGGTTATCAGAAGGCACTAAAGTGACCTGGGATGGTAAACCAGAAAGCCAGCAGTAATTTTCCCATTTCCAAACACATATAGAGACAACACAAAGACAGGCCATCCATCGGCTACCCCTCTTCCCTATTTAGCACCAGCACACCTCTGAAGAGMGAAAACTACTCCACATCTTTGAATGAAG